TTCTTATATTTTATATTATATATAAATATATTTAATATATAAACATATACAATTTTTCTTAAATATATACATGTATGTGTATGTATTTATATATACATAATAAAATATACACAGTACACACATTATATAAACAAAAACTTTTATTTTGGATGCGATTAATCACGATAATCACGATCGAGTTGATTGAAAGACGAATCAACTCGAAGTTCGCGGGGTCTAAAACCTGTCTCTGTGTGTGTGCGCTTTGGGTGTGTGCGGCGGCTGTGAGCACAGAAAACTGAACAGATCACACGCTGTCCGTAATGCGGTTTGTGCGCGTGCTTCAGGTGTGTGTCAGACAGCAAGATGAGACGGCAAGGAGTTGTTTTCTGCAACTTTTTGAACTTAAGTCTTTTTAACGTCAAGCTATTGTCTGCTATATGCGTCGACCTAAACCTTTGAATTTTTGCAACGTTTTGAAGTAGCCTATTATTAAAATGATTCAGATATTGCATGCCGTTGCGATATGCATATCGCGATATTTCGATATATCGTGCAGCCCTACTCATTACACAGGCACAGCTTCTTTGAAGGCTATGCAGCACATTAAATGCATACGCTCAGACACAAATGCACACACTACTTTACCAGTTGGGCTGCGCAGCCATGCGTTCCATGTATTCCTTGGCTACGTCCAGTGCACCTGCGCGGTGTGGGTACAGCAGGCAGAACATAGAGAGCAGGCCTAAGTTGTTCCCATAGACTTCATTCCAGCGGGCACTAAACTCAGTAGGGTTCCAAGGGGGCAGATACTCCTCCGGTCGCTCCAGTAGGGCCTCCCCGGCCTCCCGGATCTGTCGGGCCAAAGCCTTGTGCGTCCCCACCGCCGCCCGCTGCAGCTCCTCAACCTCTGCCTGGCCAAAATACAGCATGGGGTGAGTTCCCTCGTAGTTCCCTCCAAGGAACGTAATGCCTCCGCTGGGGTCCGCTTTAGCCAGAGCCGGGGACACTAGAATCCACAGTGCACTTATAAAGAACACTGTTGGTGCCCCACGGGTGTAAGTTCTCATTCTGGCATCAGAGAGGGAGAGACCACATCACCTTGCTCCCTCTCAGCTGAGGAGACAGAAAGAGAGAGACGTTATTGTCCCTGCTACACTGCTGGGTCTGAATGCCTGCAGTAATTAGAGCCAGCTGTAGGGCTGATCTCTCCGAGTTTTGCTACGCATTTATGAAACGGAGACGAAAGTTCACCCTGCCGCTTTTCTTCATCAGGCTCACAGGAAACCCCTCATGCCTGAAAGCTCCCTATATGCAGCACTCAAAAACAGAATTAATCAAAACTTTAAAGGGCAACATGTCTGTACGATAATAGTGGAGTGTTTGAGTAGAGTTTGAGCAAATCTTAACCGTCGCTGTTCCTGAACCACTTTCCAGAACACTCCTCCACAACCTGCCATGCATCGGTCAGATAAAACTAACTCATTGCAATGAGTCAATGATGTCGGTTTGCCTGATTATCATGGTCAAGTATGAGCCCCTACTATTAGATGCTGCACCATCTAATAGTTAGATTTTTGAACTGTTCCATTGTCAAAAGTCAATTAAAGGTCATTGCACACCGAGTCATAAATTTTCGCATGTTAAAAAATAAATACGACCTCACGTTGTGTCAATCACGTTTACACACTGCCTCCAAAACTTTTGTTTTCTGACTTTTGAATGCGTTTTTGCTTAATAGTTATGGTTAACATAAGCTCAAACTATTTTTTTGACGTTTCTTGGAAAAGGCGGTTGTACAGGTTCCCTGAGACATTAAACATCACGCCGAACAGGTAAATTAATCTACTTACTAGTCTGCTTTTACAGCTTTGTTGTTAATTCTCACACTCTTGCAAACTATTCTAACTAAAACAACCTAACTTGTACATTTTTAATTAAAGGGGTCATATGATGCGATTTCAAGTTTTCCTTTCTCTTTGGAGTGTTACAAGCTGATTGTGCATAGATAAGATCCCTGAAGTTGCAAAGACTAAAGT